CTTCAGTTATAAAAATCAAGCGTGACATCGCGTAATAATATTGCATCGTGGACTTAATGTTGTTTTCCTCTGAAAACGTAGAACGGTGGAAATATTTTCAAATAGCATTTCCATGATAAGGAAATAAATTGTTTATTTAAAACTTTATAAATTTATATAATACATATACAACAATTATATAATAATAAATTTAACTTTGTTTTAACTGTACAGAAAGTTGATCAAGTAAGTATACGGCGAAGTGTAACGCTCTACTGAACTATATTTAAAATGCATTTTTTTGTTTCTAGATTTTTGTCCGCTAATCGAGGTTACTCTATTTCATATAAATAATAGGTGTGTACAGTTCAACAAATTATTATTATATAACTGTAACACATCTGTATATCGATGTTGCACTTATATTACAATTTATATGATTGATGCAAATTTTAATTATTATATGTAAAAATAGGCACCCACAGCTCCGTGGCTGTTTGCAGCTCTATCGACGGGAATTAGCTGCCGCTAGTTACACATAGCGTAACATGCGACTTCCTAAACTTTGTTTTCACTGGCAATATTTTAAAGATGTTTTTTTTTTCTCAAAAAACGTCAATGTAAAATCGTATTTGTTTATGATATTTAAATTGTTATTTTTTTATTTTAACATATTTATTGGTCAAAGAACTATCGACTGAGGTCTTTCTGCCTAGATAATATATGACGAATTGGACTGAACAAATGGACACGTCGCACAAAACATCACTATATATTCACCACAAACATTCTCGCGGTTCACCGCGTAGGCGAGCCTAGTTGTGGACTGTCCAAGTCAAACATGACTATATATGCACGATTGCCTGAAAAGCATACATGACTTTCCATGTTGTAATTTTCTAAATATTTTTTCTTCAGACGTTGTATTAAAGTCGCCCGACCGCAGATTTTCATTTTGTTTAGGTGGTTTATGTATAAAATTACTATTTTATCGTATAACCATACAGACTTGTGGTGTCTGCAGTAACTGACAGTTTTCGGCAACTCGTCGGTCTTCTTGTTCACGATCTTAATTTGTTATTTAGTCGTAATTTCAATGAGTAACTATTTAAAAAATCAAAATATTTTTAAGTTTTTGTAGCAATTATAATTATTATGCTATTCAAAGTGTATACTTTTCTTATTTTTTATAATTTATGAACTATTTATTTACTGTTTGAATTAACATTTCTAATGATCAATATAGAAAGGTTACATATGACAAGAAAAAATGCCTTTGATAGCTATTCGTATTCATACAAAGAATCTACATATTGTAAAGCAAGAGTTCCCAATGGAGTTCATGGGGTCGAAATAATTTTAAATTCAATGAAACTATTGGGGATCGATGAAAACATTTGACTTTTACATTTTAATAATTATCGTGTGTTAACATCAACACAACAACAGAAAATTACATCAAATACATTATATTAGTGATTCTAATGTTTTCTACTTTATTATTCACAACTTCTTCCTGACGAAAAAAATAAATAAAAAAATCAATAATTAATAGTTAATAATCATTTTAAAAATATCGACGAGTTGTTCTTTCATTCATAGCATCTTCACCGTACACTACGTAAATATCGCTAACTTATTTGGAGGCTTGAACGCGAATAGAAGGAGGTGTCGAAAGTGCTCACTTTTGTCCATATCCATTTTGAAGGCGTGTAATTTAATAAAATAATGATTTTCTTTCGAATGACGTATAATCTTTACTTTTGGCGGGAATTTTTCAATTTGTATAAATATAATTACTATTGATATGTGCAATAAAGCGAAAATAATGATGAAATCTATAATGTAATTTCTATCTACATATGAAAGTTATTGGTTGTCGAAAGGCAATTGTTTAATTCTATAATAGAGTTCCTTTTGTAAATTCGTTGTAACAATTAAAATAAGATAACAATGTTTGTGATAAAAAATATTTGAAAGCGATACAGCCGATATTGACTTCTTCTTACATAAAGCATTGATTGAACTAAAGGAGATGGACGACTAATAGCCGAATGGTTAAGTTGCCCTACCCACGTGCTAGTGGGAGAAGGTTCCAATCCTGGTCAAGCCAGACCTTTTGTGAGTTTTCAGATTGTGAATAAAATTACAGGACATAAAAAAAATTAATAAAAACAAGAAATCGATCAAAACGAGGCGATTTAACAATATTGTGAATAATTTTTACAGCTCGCATAAAAATTAATAATAAAATACATCAATCATAACCACAACAATTATGTGTTATTATTATTATTATTTGTGCAATTAATATTTATGTTACATTAAAATAATTTATATATAATTATTACCTCATCGTCTGAGCATGTTACCTTTGGAAACTATTCCATTTATCCATCGACCTCTATTAAATACTTGGGAATCCTCCTCGATCCTATTCTATTTCCAAACAACTCAAATACAAAATAAGTCGAGATAATTATTTTTATTGATTTGTATATTGATTATTTATTCTACTTATGGGAACGTATCTAAACAATGTTGGTATATGTTGGAAAATACATATTAAATTAATTAAAACAAGTAAAATATCTTGTAAATATGTAATTGTATTTGTTTGCAAATATAAAAGAAAATCTGTAAGGGCGTTGATGGAACATTTAACAAAGCGATTTACCCCTTCGTATTTCTAGCAAAATAAATTTAAACGCGAACTTGTTCCGCCTCTGGGCGCCGGTTATTTATTTGTTTTATTTTATGTAAGGCCTTCTTTTTTAGGAGGGTGTGCTTAAATTTTCTCGCATTTTTTCGTTTGGGTCCGCACGAGAGGTCCCGGAAAATGAAAAAAAAAAAGAAGAGGGGACGAGAGCCGCAGGGACAAAAATTCAAGCGGTCCATACATCTGTATTAAATATTTAATGTCCGCATACATTTTAAAGTTGCCACAGAGGTTACACATACATACATTTATATACGTGTACGTATACAGACGGTGTGTATGTGTGCGTGCGTGAGTGTGGTGCCTCTGTATATATCTAGTTATGCAGGGGGGCGGCCAGGCCAAAAGTTGGTCTAATAAAATGCGGACAAAAGTAAGATTTACAGCCCCGGGTGCTCTATCTCCGTCCTCCTCCTTCCTCGCACGACATGCGGCGACCTCGGACCCCCGCGATGTGCGTTCAACCCTGTTTTATATGAAGAGTAATATTTAAAGTTAACGCCGTTAGTGACTTTTTTCCATCCCTCGCCGACTTCATCCTTACAATATTTATATTTAACATGAAAGAAATGTATTATAATGCGGAATTAATTTCGTATAATTCACTACCGCCGTATTCATAACTGGGTCCCCACTGCCCATTCTCCTCCATTAACGTAACGCATTTATTTTGGTGTGGTATCTCATTACAAATTATTATCATTAGTAAGTTATACTTTTTTTTACCGCAGATTTTATAATTATAATGCTTAAATATATGATATGAAATATTCAACGAATGCGCTCAGGTATACACTATACTTGTTGTTAAATTTTAAAATCTTACATATCTGTTTATAAAAATTAAAAGTCGATTATGTAAACTGGTTTTTAAAACAATGTTCACCCAATATTGTTTTGTTTTTATTATATTTTATTAGATACAATTCGGACTAAAAAGTTTGAGAAACATTGGTTTAAACGATATAATTAATTTTTTCATCTAATATTGAAAGTGTAAAATTAGTGTTTATGTTTATGAATAATAAAGAAAACTAATTTCAGTTTTGGTGTATTTTCAAGAATTTAAAAGTTTACTATTTATTTAAATTTAGTTTAGTTTAAGTTTAGTAAGATATTAATATTTTAATAATTGTAACTCTTTAAAAGATTCAGCTTTTATCAACATAAACCAAAACCAAATAATAAAAAAAGAATAAGAAATTGTACATTTTTAATATTATAGGGCTATTAGTTGCCGAATGATTGAGTCGCCCTACCCACGTTTGAACCGGCACCGGTTCGAATCCTGGTCAAGCCAGGCACTTTGTGAGCAATATCAGTGGTTGCATCAATAGGGCCATCGTTCATCACAGATGCACAGTCAAATGAATGAGGTTCAGCCATATCGATGGACAATGACAGTGTTAAGGATAGCAGCAGATTCACAGTCAAAGGAAATAGTGAAATCGCAGAGTATCAATATAGTACTGAAGTTAACCTACAAGACGACAGACAACCAACAAATTAAAATCAAAATTATCATAATGGTAACTATCCACTGGGAACGATTATTCATTTAATGTCAACCGCGATCTTAAATTTACTCAATGTTCACATTGATGAAGTGATTGTGAATAAAATTGTACCACATCAAAAAATTATAAATTACAAAAGAAATCAACTATTACCTTCATATTTCTTATGATATTTTAACAATTCCTTAGTAATTGTGGAACAAAAAAAGGTAGACAGTAGGGTTGCCAATAGAATTGACCTATATAATATTAGACTTCATCCTCTAATCCAAATAAAGTAACCCTAAACCCCAGCAGCAAAACATGTCATTTTAAAATCAATTTACGTCGAGTATTGGAAACTATATCTCTCTTTTTATTGTAAAACAAAATATTAGTCAAAGTTTATTTTTTATTAGTGCATTATAAACATTAATCTAAAATTAAACAATACAACAAATTATTGAATCAAATTATAAATAATTTTAAACGTCTGCGGCTTAGTATTACAAAATTAATGGAAACGCGAGCAAATTAATTAACACGATCCCTTAATTGGGAGATTAACGCAAAATCATTTAATGGCTTCTCATTAAAATCGAACTTTCCACTTGCAAATGCACCGGATAAAAACAAGCACGAGAAACGACCGCAGCGTAATTAAAGCGGCGATAGATTACCGTTAAATTCGGATCGGGGTCGCCGTAGGGGTCAAATTTACGTTATCTGTCAAAATGTATTATCAAATATAAATTAATGTTTTTTTTTCTGTGATTATATATCAGTAAACAGTGGTGTTCGTTAGTATCGTGAAAACTGTTGGGATCGTAAGGATGTGGTCTTTGATGGCGGTAACTTTGGTGTTGGCGGCGGCGGAGGCGCTGGTGCCAGGTCGTCTTGACAAGATCACCGATCTGGGCTGGAGTATCCACGAGGATACAGTGCATTGGCCTAACAATAAGGCATTCGTGTATACAAATAAAATCGCTGAGGAGAAACCCGATGGAAAATGGTAAATACTAAACTTAAGTCTGATATTTTAGATTTGCAGTTATCGATTTTACATAAAATTTTATTTTTATTAATTGTATCTTATTTTAATATTAAATCTTAGAAACTAAATGTTACATTCTATTTTAGTTTTTAAATAATATCTTTAACAGTTGAGTTGATATAAATTAAGTTAAATGAATTCAAATAAAAAAATAATAATAAACATAATTTATTATATACATGCTCCTACATACATACAAAATGTTTTTATCCCAATTTATATATGGAGGAACAAGACGCGTATTTCAGACATATTTCATTGTTTTATTTAGTTGCCATATTTCGTTCTGGTGATCCAGTTGAAGTTGATTCAAATAGCACAACTCGTGAGATTGCTGAGAAACTCAAAGTATCGTACATGCATAATCATACAGCTTGGCAAAAATTACGCAATCACTTAGTTGTCACCCAATATATTCTAGAAATTAAACATATTTCTTAAATTCGATAAGTATGAAATTTACGTTTAATAAATCTAGTGTACTTTACATTAACACTATATTTACAAAATATTTTTATCTCAATAACCATTTGTATGTTGTTATACAATAAATTTTGTTTATTATTAGTTTTTTATGATTTATATTTTGCAATTTATTAATATTGAGTTGTTTCTTGTTGTTGTTGTTCATAGTTTTTTTTAATTCATGATCATTTTGTTTGTTTTTTTACTTTAAAAAATAATTTAAATAATTATAATAATATAATATAAATTGTTATCTCAGCAATAAATTATGCTTATTATTACCATGCTTCAAAATGTTTGGTATTATTTTAATTATTTACAAATCTTTGTTAAGCTACATTTAGGTTTTTCTACCTGCAGAATTTAAAATTTATTTTGTTAAAAATCAATTTTACACAAATTTAGACACAAAAAAACATTTTTGGACCGATCAAAATACAGGATTTTGTTTCATTTTATTTGAATGTTGTAGGTTATCTCTACTTTTATTTAATATTTCAGATTCTGATTGCTTATGTCTTGTGAGCTATTTAAAAAGTTTTTTTTAAGAGCCACAATATTTCTCCCAATTTGTGATATTAAATTTGTACGAAAATGACTTATAAGTCGTTTTTAATAATTTATTATACCTAGACCTTTCCTTTAACTAATTATTTAAATAAAAGGTAACCAATAAATTATTAACTTTTATCTATAAGTTCATTTTTAATCATATTTTTGTATTTAATTTAAATTAATTAACTACTTACTCTTTATATGAAGGTAATTGCATTGTTATGCATATGTATATAATTAAATTTTAAAAACTTACAATATAAAACATTATTTGAAGTCCAATATGAAATAAATAGTTATGGAAAATGAAATATGCTTACATTGGTTCTTAATATAAATCGCTGAGTTTTCAAAATTTAATTTCTTAAGAAGCGTTTTAGCTTTGCAAAGCACAGCTTCATTATTTATATTCCTGCGTGGCAAATACGCTTTTAAAATTGCCTTCATTTCTTTTTTTGTTGTGCCATGTTATTAGACTCGTAAACGTTTCTTTCTCTTCTTTTACCGAAATATAAATTGTGCTTATTTTTTAAGGTATGCCAGTAACGATTACTGCTCGGGTGAGCACCTGGGCACGCATCTGGACGCGCCGTATCATTTCAATAAGTTCGGATGGAAGGTAGGCGACATTCCCCTCGAAAAACTAATTGGAAAAGGTGAGTGGATGAGTCCAACAGATACGAATATATATCTAGAGAGGAGGGAAGAAGAGGATGAGGGATGAAAGAGCGGGCAGAGATTTCCATGTAAATTTGATTAAAGCTCTCCCCCCGCTTTCTATACTAGCGTTTCGCGCGCGCTTGTATATGTGTGTCTGCATTATTGGGGGTTGTCGGGGCGTCGAGACAAAGCTGAATTATGATTAAGCCTCAGATTGTGTAATGATAATAATTACATTGTGCTCGGGACCAGCTTCTAAAAGGGAGCCACCGAAAGGTGAACATTCCTGTGGTGGGTGTATCAATAGAGGAAGGGCTAAACCGTGAGACTCCACTCTCCTATTTATTACGATTCCTACCGCCGTCGCCACTTAATAATTAGCGAAGTATAAATAAATTGAAACGAGAGGAGAAGAAATAATGGAAAATTTGATTAAGGCTTTTGTGTCCGCGTAATGATTACATAATTTCATTGTGCGTATGCAAATCGAGTGAGGGCGAATGGTAATTTGGAGGTGGCGCGCCAAGGATCCCTCTTGCGCCGAATGGATGTGGAATGGGAAGAAGACCGGCAATAATTCGAGTCCCTTAGTCTCTCGCCGTTTCGTGCCCTTTTCCAAGGGTGGACCTTCGGTGTAGAGGCTTCGAAGCGATTTATGGTCATGCGCCGCCCTTGTTCGCAGGTATTTGCGTCAACTTACAAGAGTCATCAGGTGCTGGGACAACCCTGCAACCCGGTCATATCGACAACTGGGAGAGAAGGAACGGAAAGATACCTAAGGGTAGTATTGTTCTCATCAATTTCGGCTGGGGCGCAAGACATTACGAACACGAATCATATATGGGACTGGTGAACGGAACCCTTCATTTTCCCGGTATGTCACTTAAGTTTAACCATCTGGAAATATTCTGATTGCTCTTTTGTTCAGGGGTGTCTGCCAGTGCCGCCCAGATGTTGGTTGATAGGCACATCACGGGTATCGGAGTGGATACCGCAAGCATCGATCCTGGAACAAGTACGGATTTTAAAGCGCACAGAATCCTGCTACAGGCAAACATTTACAACATGGAAAACTTAAAGATTCCTCTATGGATGCCAGGTAAACTTTATATCATAGACCAGGGTTTCCCAAACAATGATCCGCGAAAGCTAATAGGTGTTCCGTGAAAACTAGGAATAAAATAATTTCTAAATAAATAATTACTGTTAGTTCTCATTTTTCTTTAAATTTTATTGATTATGTGTTCTTACCTACACTATAAGACAAACATGATGTTCCGTGAAAATTTCAGGTTTTACAAAGTGTTCAGTTGCAGGAAATGTTTGGGAAACCCTGTCCTATACGAACAACACTATACCGCCTGACTTTGTAGTCAATATTCCAGTTTGGGTTCAAGGTTTCTCCTTAACTTACAAATAAACCATATTTTAACTTATTGCAATATTAGATCTTTGCAATAACAATATTTTTTGATTTATAATGTTGTAAAAATCAGTTATTTAAAAATTCATAAAAAAGGCAAACACACACTAATTTAATAATCTTTATTGCATCAATAATAAACAAAATATAACCTTTTCATACAATAATAATAAAGTTGTAGCTCTAATTATTTTTTTTTGTTTTCGTCGTTTTTATTTATATTTTTTTAGATTTGAAGATGACAATTATTATGTGAAGTTTTCCTTTTATTTATTTATAGATGTAGCTGTTTGAATTAGTACTATCAATAGACATTTTCCGGTTGCAATACATATGATTAAAATATGAAATTTATATGTAATCATAATAAATAAAAAATAATTAACTGTTACACATGGTTATTAACCGCACTAACATGTAACGTTTTTAAATTAAAAAATAGAAAAAAAATAAAGAAAAAGTAAGTAAACAAAATCAAGTAGTGTTTGTTTTGCATATTTATTTTATTTTTGTTTAAAACTTTATTATTTTATATTTGATATCTAAACAAATCTAGTTTTTAAATATGAATAATGCTCCATGTATCCGTAACAAACATAATTTTTAAATAATAAATGTTTTAATAATTTCTCCTATTTTCCAGAGAAAGGATTTAATTTAGTCGTAATGCCGATAAATCTGAGAGACGGCACCGGAGCACCTCTCAGGATATTCGCGGTTCCAAACAGCGAGAACGTCGGTCTACCAACACCTGAAGCTCTCAAGGACGTCGTCGTCAGTGATTGTACTCCATGGTATGCCCACACTTGGTTGGTCCTACTGTCATTGCTGGTCACAGTCATGTACGCCGTGCACGGATTTTCGATTTATTGAGGAGGATCGTTTCCCAATTACCGTTCCGAACTTTACTTTATACCAACCGTTCCGACGTCTCTAAAGTTTTGTGTGTAAATGGCCAATAAATCACCTCTCCTCCTTTTTTTATATGCTATTTTTGTACCATTCGTTCTAAGAGAAGAAGGGAGTAAGTCGAGGAACGCAAAAAAAGGAACCAGCTAGCGCAGATTTTATTGCTGGAGACGTTAAGACTCTCGGTTTGTTCTATTCGCGTGCACTTAACGAATTAAGTGTTTTTCTAGTCCCAAGAAATTTAACTAGGAGTTTAAACAACTGGAGCGCAAACCCTCGATATCGGATCGAGCGATAGATATGGGAGAGTAGGAACGGAAAGATATGGAATAGGTGGATGGTGCCAATGGTAGATATTGAATTTTTTATGATGTCGTGGGAGTGAGAAGGGGCTTGGGCTTTAATAAGCAAACGGATGGACGTGTAATGAGACAAAGACAATGCGACGTTAATAAACGTTGCCAACGGTTACAGCGGAGTGTGTTGTGTGCTAAGGCCCTTGTTGTCTCGACCCTTTTCTCTCTCCCTTATTAATTCATAAATAAAGCACACCCAAAGGGGCTTCCAGTAGCAGCGGCAACAAAAAATAAATACATATATATATATAGAGAGAGAGAAGAGATGATGAAAGGAGAGAAGACGAAGACGCATGTTGTTTCTTCTGCAGGAACAACAAAGAAGGGAACGTCGCGTAATAAATTTTAACATTTGCTCATCCGACTAAAAACATATTGTGTTATCGGAAGGATATTTGCGTCTGATATCTGATCTACACATGCATACAGCCAGCCGATCGTTGACTTCCTTCCTTCCTTCCAGCATCGCCGGATCGGCAGCCCTGCGCCCTGCAAAACCGGATATTGCTTATCTCCCACTTCCGTTCTTTCTCCGCATCATCCATAACTCTTTATGACTCGATAGGCAACTCGCCAAACGATTCCCTTCTCCGTCCCCACAAACACACGCGATTGTCTTTTTTATATATGTGTGTGTGCTATGCTATCATCATCATCCCTTTTTTCCGGCTCGAACTTCCATTCTATTTATTTTGCAACAATGATCTGCAAATGTCCGGAAAAGTGGATGATGCGCTCGTAAATTGCAACGCGAACCTTTGGCAAATACGAAACACTTAATTGCAGCGCATTGAAAAAACGACAGAGCTATAAATAATTAAAAAACAATGTAACGTAAAAAATGCTCATATAAACTTCGACGTGAAAAGTATATATATTCAAAAGAATCGTTTAACAAGGTTAAATCTCACTTTAACTAAATTTGGATTACAATAAAAATATTTTTATTTAGTTATATTAAAATGAATTTAATATTTTATATTAAAGTACATGTGTACATGGTAAAACTTCTCAATAGTCGTTTACCAGTTGACAGGTCTGGACTATAAACTCAGAATTACAGAATATAGATTGAAAATTATATAAAAATAAATATCAAATTTCAAAATTCGAAGGAATTGTAGTCGATTGATTATTAGAATATTAATAAAAAAAATAATAATCTATTTTAAAGGTTATTAATAAAATTGAGCTAAACATTCATTTTAGGTAAACGTACAATAATCTCAAATATCGATAATATTTAACTTTGCACCTTTATTAAATTTATCACAAAATAAGTAAATATATCTAAAATTATTACCTAAGGAATTTATCGTTTCAGACGGGTTTTAGAATGACAAAGAAGAGTCCTCTATCCAAAACGATAATTCCTGAAATGTTGTTGAAACTATTGAATATCCTCCATCAGTTATTAAAAGACAGTGAGATAAAAATAAAGTTTTGAATAGTGGGTTCATCATTATGAAGTTAAATAAATATACGAAATTTATTATATAACAATTGATTGTTTAATACTAAACATATTTTGCTGATTGAAAACAAAAATAAAGGAATAAAGTAAAAGAAAACGGATAAAAAAATATGATGCTTTTACATTGTTGTGTTAACTGTTCTTTACGACTCTTTTCGAAGCGTTAAAACTTTTTACAATCTTGACCTAATTTAGTCTGACTGTTATTTATATGACAAAAAATAACAAAATGAAGAAATGAAGAAAAAATAATTAATTATAAAGCTATAATATATTTCTATTAAAATATTGAAAATTTAAGTGATAATAAAATTACATTTAACACTTTAAATAAAGATTCTGAATAAGTGGAACACTTAAAGTATTGGCACATGAGAAAAAAGTAATCGAAATAAATTTCTCGATAATAAAAGAAATATTTAGTTTGATTGTTAAAAATAATATTAATTAAGATTATGTCGATAATATTCTGAACCAAATTGGGTCCAATAAATATAACTAGATATAATTTATAATAAATAAAAAAGTAATACTGTCTGTAGACTTTATGATATAAAAGTAGTCACATAAATTTATAAATTGATGCTCTAATTGGTGGAAGCGCCGGGAACACATGGTTATATTATTTATTTATAAAAATATAATAGTTTTTAAATGAAAAATAATTATTTGTAAAGCATACGAAACAAATGCCTGCTATATGGTACAATAAACGAAAATTTAGTTGGTGCCGCTGATTAGTTATTAAGCCGTTATTAGTCAGTTACGAGCACGAAGCTCACTTTATAAACGCAATACCATTAATTACATTTTATCAACAGCCATGGCAAAATTACTAATTAATATTTCCTGAATATTATTTATGTATTTCTATATATTCATGTATTATTAATAAAATATAACATAAATATACATGTGTTGCATAGATGGTAACTACATGTATTCAGTTGATGCTCAATTACGTATTTTGATATTGCAATTAAAGTGCTGCATTACAAATAACAAAGCTCGAATACAAATGCAAATTACTAAATTATATAAATCAAATGTATGTATTCTCTATTACAACAGGAAATAAAGCAAATATTATACATGTGTATTATATAATATGAATGATTTACTTTAACTATTGTAACTTAATTAAACAATAAAAAATGTGGAAAAACAGCAGTATTCTTTGATGTAAATTTGACTAAATGAGAATTGATAAAAAACAATAAAATCTGTAAGTATAGCCATTATGAAAACAATTTGTACAACAGAAAGTTTTATTAGTATTTATTTATAGAAAAATTTGAACCCACACAAAAACAAAATTTAAGAAAGATTACTTGAAAAAATATTGTTTTAATTGAAATTAAAACAAATACCAAAATGTTCTACAATTTTCAAATAATTTCAATGTCAAGCGCATTTTGATAGATGTCTGATTTAGTTTAACTCTATTTTTAGTGTACTGTTTCACCACAATCACCACATCCGTGTTAAAAGTATGATTTATGAGAAATTTACGAAAAAGTTGGATTGTGGATGTGTTTATTATTCTCATGCATTTTGTTTTCTCAAGAACAAAATGTCTGGAGTAAATTCAGATATTATGATCTAAAAAACATAAAGTTACTGCAAATCGCAACATTTTATTGAAATAAAAAAGCGAGAACATTTTGAGCATAACAAATTAGAGAATAAGTAAAATTATGTTGAATCGCTATATTTTTCTTGGTGATATTTTTGTACATCATTCCTTGGTTGAAAAGTCATCGCCCGTCACTGGTGTGTATGTATATTTCTAAAATTTAAATGTTTATTTAAATATTTACGTTATATCGGAGTAAAAAGAGTAAATTGTCAACTATGGATAGGTTATTAGTAATTTCATAAATGTTGTATGTATGCAGTGTTTAATTACGGTGCATATTTTGGAGTGGTTGGAGGGTGGATGGCTCTAAGAACTCATCCAGTTTTTCCAAGATTGCGTTTCGCTCTAGGTGCAGGAGAAGTGGAAGATCGTTATAGCCGGATACCAAAAAAATCCACAAATTTGTTAATCAAACGAGTGATTCAAATATTTTTAAGCCACCAGCAAGTTAACCGAAATCTACAAAAAAAAACTACAAGATTATTTACTAACAAATACGCAAACACGTTCTCTGTAGTACCGAAGAGCCTACTACGCATCTAGCCGATTTGTGGTCCAAAAACCCGAAAATCCGATTAGACTGCTCAGACCATTAATTTATAATAGGTTTAGGACAGACAGAATTAACAAAAAAAAACATATACCATGCGGACATAAAATGTACAATAGTTTCTTTTATATTTATTTATTTTGGGCAAATAATTTTGATTTTGTTAATTTTTATTTCTTTTCCGGGTGTTTTTAATTTGAATACATGTATATTATTTTGTATACAAGTTATGATGAATTTCATGTTTTATTTATTTTGATTTTGCATATATTCTGGCCAATAAATTATGATTATTATCAGATTAATAATATATATACTTAAATTAGACAGTAACAAATAAAAAGTGAATATTTACATATTTAGTAAAGTATAATAATTATATTTATTAGTTACAATGAAATCAATGGGCTATCGACCTAAGTCTTTCCGACACAAAAAACATAAATTGTCACAATAAATCGTATAAAAAAATGCATTCTGTAAAAAAAGTTAGACGTACATATATGTAAATATAAAAAAGATGAAATTATAAATTAAGCCAAATAAAAGTAAATCTTCTCGAAATTAAACAAATAATAATATATCATGCGCCTGATAGTAAAGTATTAGTTATTATAAAACGTTGTAAGTCTCAGTGTACAATTTGTCCGATTTCAAACTGATGAGAAATTTTCATGATATATGATATATACCTTTAGGAAGACTGATATTTTATTTGAAATGGGGTTTTCCCCCTTTTATTCATTTTCCTATGATATTAATATTTATGCGAAATGCAACATCAATTAGCCGGGCATTGGAGCAATACATTATGGGTAGAACAAAAGCGCGTAGGGTGGCGAGGGCGGCAGATTTAAAATGTTCGTACGAAATACGAGCTCGCACACATACACACACATATAGACATTCATAAAATATTGATAATTAAATGAATTATATTGTACGCAGGGTCCATTATACACGTCGACAAAGCCGCCGCCGCCACCACTGCTACTACAAACCGAAACCAACCGCCGCCTTTTCCACATCCTAATTGAGATTT